AATTTAATCAAAAGCCAGAAGGATATTCATTAAAATTTTATCAGAAATATGCTAGGTAAAATAAGAGTTTCATTAATAAAAAAAGTTATTAAATAATTAATTATTTAATAATTAAAATTTTCCTGCGTCACATCAATTTTTTCAATTAAATTTAACAATGTTGTATTGTAAATGAATTTTTCAAAGAGAAATTTATAAACAAATTTAATTAAAATCCTTAAAAATTTATTAGAAAATTGCAGCGAGAAAATTAGTTTAATTAATAAAAAAATATTAAGAAAATAATTACCGACAAAGGAGACTATTAAATAGAGATATTTTTGAATAAAGGTGTCGAAATAAATTAGGAATAGTATAGTTATATATATATATGGATTATATGAAGTGAGGAAACATGCAGAAGGTGGGTAATTGACTCAAGAGTACTTAATAAACTAGGTAGTAGGTGTTCAGACTGAATAAGGAAAATGACTCACCGAGATTTACCGAGGCAAGATTTATCGCATCACGTAAAGCCCAACGGCTTTTATAATTTTCACACGGATAAATTCTGATTAATGAAATTCAAACTGTACAACTCGCCACCTTAAACACACACATGTCTATATAGATGTCTATACATACGGGCTCCCTCTGCCCATAAATTAAATTAGAAATTAGAAATATTTCACAGCCACGCCGATTAATCTCCAGCTAATAGGCGTTTTTTACAGCCAATTACGCCTCGGTGACTTTATTTTAAAATCAGCACTTCTGACGAAAAATCTAAAACCAAAACAACGGGAGTGTTTTCAGGCTCATCGCTGCGGTATTATGCGGACAAGCGCGTTTTTTACCACAGTCTCTTTTGTGCCTTAATTTAACAACTTTAATTCAGCGGCAGCGTATGCACGCAAATGAGCATTCATGAATATCCATATCCCCGACTTTTTACACTGGAGACTATCATCGTACAATATATACAACGTACATGTAATGCATAATATATACAAACAGTGCAGTCTCTGCTGTCGCACTCTGCCGTCCTTTGTTCTCAAAATTTTCACCCTATTTCTTTTATTATGCTTTCAATTTGAATAAATTTATCAATATTACACAGTAAAAAATTTTGCGTCAAAAAATTTAGTGTTAAATATTTAACACTTTTATGTGTAAATTTAACATTTATTCTGTTAAATCAACACAAAAAACTGTTAAATATTTAACATAAAAATTTTTTAACGCAAAATTTTTTACTGTGTACTTTTTTTTTCCAATTTTGTTGAAATTATTTATTAAAATGGTATCAATGAACTTTTAATTTTTAAAATTGATAAATTTTATGAAATTTTGTTCCTTCGATTTTCAATACAGCCGTCTACTACTATAAAAAGTACTACAACTATTTTTACTTAAATATTTAATTTAACTTTATTAACTGGTTTACTTAGTACTGTTATTTTATTTCCTTATATATAGAAAAAAATTTCGCAGTAAAAGCCAAGGAAAAAGGTAGAGTAGACCTTAATAATAATATAAAAAAATTACAACACGGCTTTATACGAAAAGATGGAGAAAATCGTCAGAGAAAAAAGCAAGAAAATAAGAAGGAGTACTTTACTTTTACTTGGAAAAATGTTTCAAATTTAAATATATCATCACCCGACATTTGCATTTATCTCTACCAAAAAACATATGTGTATATTGTATATATTTGTACGAGTATAAGGTTAAAACAATGTAAATGACAAGTTGGAAAAATAGTTATAAATATTCGCGAAAACTCGGGAGACTTTCTCCGCAGGTTGATGTTGAATAAAATTATTAACATATGTACGTACGAATGTATGTAGTATGTAAATAAAAGATTGTGCGTATAATGTCTCAGTATTAATAATTCATAGGGCACCGAGCGAGGCTTTGAATGATTAATGAGAAGCACATTTAGTGTTACAAAAAAAATATTATACCAAGAACGAGGGAAGGGGTCGGAAATCATGCGGTGTGTTTGACATTTAGCGGGTATCAGATCGCAGAGATGTTGATTGAGGGTGAAGTGGAGGTAGCTCTTGTGCTGGTCTCTGGTATAATATGCAGTGTCTTCAATTGCATTCCTCCTAGGCATAATTAGAGGTGGTTTATGGAGTATGTCGGGCGTTACTGCCGGAGTGGTAGGGGAGTTTGCTGGCAGACAGAAACGTAGATATCCCTCGAGTGTCTCATGTGCAACAAAGGAACTTTCAGACACTTTCAGATATCCGGTATACATATAATCATTGTTAATGCATCGATCTTCTATAATCGATAAGGTATTTTTAAACTGCTTAATACTTCAAGTCACCGCTCGCTAGTTTAACTTACATTAAGGTCTTCGTGGTTTTATAATTTTGTTTTAAGGTGCTATTTTTACTAGCTCTCAGACACGGTAATTAGTTTTTGGTTTATTATCCTTTTTAAGCAAATTATTAGTTGAATTTTTTTTTTTCTTAGTAAAAAATATAATTATTGAAGATAAAATTTTTATTGCAAATTTTAAAGATAATATTTATGAAAAAATTGATGATTTTTATTTTTATTTAATAAATATATTAAGTGATTTTTCGGACTTTTAAGAGAAAAATTAAAATTATTTTAATTCTATGCACAAATATTTAGTACAATTTACATAATTATTTTCGTCCTACAAGCCTACCAAAACTCATTAAAATTATTAATTTCTCTTCTTAAATATAATAAAAATTTAACCTTGTAATGATTTATGCAAACAAACTTGGTAAGATAAAAGCCCCAATTATTGACATTATCAGAGACAAAGTTATGATTTCATTTTTTTTAAGCAATTAAATATCAATATCGCTAAATTTTGTTTGTAGTAATAATATTTCAAACAATGTTTTTACTAATTAATTTCTTTTTTTTAAATTAAAATCAGTGATATTTACTGATTAATTTTAAATAATTAAATATAGTATCCGGATACACCAATTATTGGTAGATTAAAAAATATAATTAGATGAAAAAATCAATTTAAACTCGGCATTTAAAAAATACTTTTCTAACTAAAGTTGTTAAGAAAATAGACGCTCGTAAGCTGACTTGATGAACTGGTGCAAACTTTATTTTTAACTTCCCGCTAAAAATCTCAGATTTTCAAAAATCGGGAAGTTATTGTTTTCACCCCGTTTTACAAAAATCGAGTTTTCATCAGATCTCGACGTTTGAAGGTCGGAGGAAACTTCCCTGACTATTTTTACGATGATGTCCGTACGTCTGTATGTATGTGTGTGTGTGTGTGTGTATTAGGGTGTGCCAAAATGTAACTCCCGTGGAGGACCTTTTAGAATTGGAATTTTGAGTTCCGCTTTTAAAAGCAGCTCTGTTGAGGTCTTTCCTAAGATATTTTGGATTGAGACGATAAATTTGATTTTCATAGAATTTTTTTACCGGAGCTTAGTTTGGGCACTTCCGCTGAAAATTCAAATTTTGGCCGGAAGTGTCCAACTAAACCTCCTGCTAAAAAATTCTATAAAAATCAAATTTATCGTCTCAATCCAAAATATCTTAGGAAAGACCTCAACAGAGCTGCTTTTAAATTGCTTTTAAATGCGTTGTCGAAAAAAATCGAAAAAAGTGTTTTTTTGTAATAACTTCGAAATTCATGGCTCGATCGATTTAAACTTGAAAATTTTTCATGGAGCTTCAAAAACTGCGTCGATTGCCGCCAACCGCGTGAAAATCGGTTCATTCATTCAAAAGTTATTGCCGTTTGAAAATTAAAAAAATTGTGTCTTTAAACTGCTATTAGAGTTTTGACACAAAAATAATATTTTTGAGATCGAAGAGCTCAAAAACGTAATGTGTAGTTTGAAGCGTTTAAATACAAAATGAGCGGGAAGTTGCAGGGATGGCCTTTAGGGTGAACCATTTTTCTAATTTTTTTTTTTAATAATTAATATTTAATATTTTGAACTGATAGTAATTTTTTTCAATTTTTTAATTAATTAGAATGTAATAAAAATTTATATGATAGTTATTCTTATTACAAATAATTAAATATATTTTAAAATAATTTAGGGTGTCAATATTTAGACCCCCGTCAATTTTTTACCTTACTTGATATTACTCCGGATAAAAAAAATTTTTTTCTTAATTAAAACTAATTTTAATAATAAATTTATAAAATTTACCGATATAAATATGCTCAATATCTGAAAGCTTTTCCTCGGATTATCTCTTGCATTTACTTTAATGCAAGTACTCCAATATCATCAACCTAAAAAAAAAAAAGTAATCCCATTGATGGTATATATTGTACATAAATATGGTGAAAGTAGTGTTATATATGATAATGCTTGTGATACCTTGTAAATATATCTATGAGCATACGTTTTTTATATCCGACCAGAAAAATAAAATAAGCTGAAAATGGGCATTTACTCTTTCAGGCATTTAATATTTATTAAATATTATATCACAGTAACAATGGGATAGAAATTTAGTTACTATTGTTGTTGTTATAGGGGTGTACAGAGAAATTTTCTTAAAATAAATAAATCATGTACACGGGTGAATAAATTTTAGTGTGCAGTGAACGATAAAATAAGTATAATAAAACAAAAAAAGTAAAAAAGTGAAACCAACGTAGTCAGAATTGATGTGAATAGTGGAATAAAGCATTCATACCATAAACTTTTTTATTCAAAGTGTTAATGGAAAAGAGAGTAAAAGGATTTAAAAATAAAATCCAAAGGTTCCATTTTATTTTTTATTTTTTTCAATTCGAATTTATTTTATTTTAAAACTTTTTATACCATTGAAAATTTAAAACGTAAACTTGGAGCCATATATCAACAAAAACTCCAGATAAAGGACACATTTATATACTACGGTATGAAAATAAATAAATAATAAAATGGAAAAGTCAAATGTGTTGTATAAAACTCGATAATTTTTCAAATAAAATTACACTGAGTAAGTAAGCAACTATTTTTATTAATAATTTTTGCAAAGATTCAAATTTTTTATGGCACAAACGACTGGAATTTAGATATTATATTCTCAATAAATAACTCGGCACTCGGTCCTAGTTGTCCTAAAACCCATCTAGCTGTTTCGGGACAAATAATTATTATTCCGAGTACACTTATCGCCAATGGAGCCAAAAATGTCCACAAGAGCTGCAAAAATATTCGAGTTTATTTTATTGAGCTATTTCAATAAAATGTTAAATAAAATAAAAAATTTTACGTTTAATAGCCAGCACACGACCATCCAGCCCAGCAGAACAGTTCCCGCGGTATTCAAGTACGGAGCGTACTCGGGACGGAGCAAATATTGCAGGCCTGGGACATTCGACGACAAATCTGAGAGAATTAGTTGAACCTATGGTTAAATTTTATTTCAATTAAAGGAAATATTTTATTATTAAATAGATGCTAATTATTATTTCCTATTTAAAGACACCGGTAGTATTTACTCGGCTGAAAAGTCTGCTAATAATTTTTCCATAAGAGCCCATGTTTAATTAACATACTTTCAGACTTGAAAAGCCGCTACTTTACGCCATACGTAGCACCCTTTTGAATGAGAATTAACACACCTGACGACGTGCAAAATTTTTTGTTGAAAAATTCTAGATTTTTTATTATTTTATTTGCGCTTAATAATTTATGTTAAGAGGGAAATACGTGTACAGGCTTAAAAAAATTCAATTTTTTTTTTTATAAATCGCTTGTAAAACTATTCAAAAATATAGATTTAAAATTTCAAGTCAAAATTTCTATTCGTTCAAAAATTATAAGCGATTTAGTAATTACTTTAATACTATTTTATATTAACTTTTTATTCAGACGCGTTTTTCTCGAAACGAGTTTTTTCAAAACTGTGTGCAGTCTAGCTCAAAGAGTTTTAAACTAATCATCTTGCGATATGGCTTATAATTTTCTTTATACAATTACCTTGAATATGAACCTCAATCGAAAGCGATATTTTTATTTAAACTATTTTTTTTTTTTAATAAACAATGTATGAAAAAGTGGTAAAAAAATCGCGGCTTAATTTCACAGCCCTCTAAAAAATGCAAATTTTTACTTTTTTTTTTTAATTGAGGTTCATATGGAAGATGCACATATAAATAAAGTAATTTTTCTAAATAAAAATTGTGGCTTCCATATTGCACACAGACTGCTGTCGGATGACAACCTACTATATGTATCAGCTGATATCTCCGCTATTTGTTAACTTATATTGTTGTTTAACACGAAAAAATACTCGTAAATATATGTATAAAATAACCTGATAGTTTCAATAAATAATATTAATTTTTATATCTTAAAAAAGTTAATGAAAATCAGCATGAAAACGGCCTTCTACACGTATTTTCCCCCTTAATGTAAATTAGTATTTGACAAAACATTTTTATTTGTAATGCTAGACGGAAAAAAAAATTTTTAACGGGAAGTCAAATTTTCTTGGCTCAAGAAAATATTGAGGAAGATTGAAAATTTCTTGAATGAAGTCAAAGTTTCTTGCTCCAAAATAACTTTTGTCTTCCTTAAAATTTTCTTGGTGCAAGAAATTTTTTTTCTGTCTAAAATTTGAGCTTCCTTTAGCGACTTATTGAGCCAGACTAATCGGGCCAGAATAAATTAATAATTTTTTGTTCGCTGTTGCAAGTTTAAATATTTAAAGTTTGGAAAATGTTATTGAAACATAGAATGTATCAAGTTTTATCTGTCGGTAGGGTAAAATTTTCTTGGGTTGTAATTTATAATCATCAGGTTATTAAAAAATATTTAATAGATATTATTAAGAAAATTTAATTGAAAAATCTAAATTATACTGATAAAAAGTTAAATTAAAAAGTGAACGAATTTTGCTGGATACTTACGTCCATTATAAAAGTTGGATTAAAAAATAAGTGACGCAAAAATTTAAAATGTCACGGTTAATTTATTTATATTGTTTTAAAGGTTACATTGCTTTTTTCTTTCTGACAACAAACGATCTACTTCAAGGAGCTGCTGCTAAGGAACATTAAATTCAATTATTTATTTTTTATTAAAATACAAATAAACACCGAGTGAATTATTTGTTAAATAAGTTAAGGTTGTTTAATTAATATTGAATGTGAATGAAAAAAAAAAAAATAAAAATAAAATAAAAAATCTGTGAAGTAGAACGAATAAAGTTGAATAATTTTTCGGATTTCAATTTTATTAAAAATAAACTGACATGTTTTAGTTAATTTATAATTTTGTTGTTGAGTTGGTATGTTACTACGTTAGTCATAGTTTGAAACCTTCAAACCACATATAATTTTGCGCTTGCCAAAATGAGCGTTAAAATAATTGTGGGTTTGACCGCGAAATATACTTGAACTGGAAACATTATATTTTTACCCAGAAATGTATATGATAAATATGGGGCATTCCATGTCAAATCGACCACTTTTGACACTGACCCTTTTCGATTTTTCTGAAATTTTGGTATCTTTCTCTACCTTATTGAAAACAATTTTCAGAATTTTTTCAAATTTTTTTACCCAACCAAAAAAAAGTTACGAGTTATTACAAAAAAACAGCTTTTTTTTTGTTAAATAACCATAACTTTTTTGAAAATTTGACTTTTTGGGATGTTTTTTTTTTTCGAAATTTTTGTCTTTAAATGTATCTTTAAGAAAAAAAA